GGGACCACACTTCAAACCAGGTGGCTGCTACCAGTCCGCCTATATCAGAGCGAGAGAATAACTGATAGTTATTGATTTTGCGCGCAACAATCGATCGATTTTATAGCACACCGTCCAGCTCTTTCTTCTCGAAATCTGATTTATTGCAACCGCTCATAATGTTTCGTGGACGCCATCGCAAGATACGGGGCATCATCAAGAGTGAGCCAAGGGGATAGGAATGAAAATCAAGATTGGTCACGCATCCTAGTCTCCTTCCTCCTCGACTAATTCTCAGTCTCGATTTCAACCACGAGGAGATGTTTTTGTTTGTTTTGAATGCATTGCCATAACAATTCGATTCACGCTCACCGATTTCAAGGTAGTTCACGGATCGATGGGTGAGTTAAGCTGTGTTGACCATCACCGAGAATTGTCATTGAGTGACTATTGGTAAACAGTAAATCGTACACTCTATCGTATTCTGCTTGAAGAACATAAGCCTGAACGGTTTATTTTGTAGAGCTGCTTCTTCAGGTATGGAAAAACTATAAAAAATGAGGTAGGTGTGAGATTTGTAGGCACTCACTTCCTCACTGTGATACTCGTTAGCTTCTGATAAAAGAACGCGTTCAAAAATATCTATAAATTGTCCGAGTCGGTTGAGGTACCTGGAAAAATACTCCACTATTACATCATGGTGTGACTAGGACTTGGCCGTGTTGCTTCCCCAGGCGAAAATCCGCCGCTTGCCGTACGGCAACTTCACGAGTTTTTTGCGCGGTTATGGAGCGTGCAGAGTTGGCGATCGCACGTGTGACTGGGCGAGTAGCGAGTGGGCACGTAGGTGAATAGACGAGAAGGCAAGGAGAAAAGGATACTGATCGATTGATTGTCTGCGCTTTGAGCGGTCACGTAATCGCTCACTCGCCTACTCGCCCACTCGCCCACTCGCCTACACGTCAACAACGCTCTGTAGGTGGAGCAAACCGGTCAATGCGTATGAAGTCATCCGCTTATGTCGTACCGCTACTCGGTTCCAATCTATCAATTTTTACGGTAGACTATGCCTAATCGTCTAATCGCATTACGTTGGAAAGACTCTGAATGGCACCTTTATTAAAGCGAGAGATTGCGATAGGATTCTGTTGTGCTCATAGTGGAAGTGAGATGCTGAATAATGCCCTAGTAGCGAAAAAAGCAAAGAAATCCGTCAAAAACGCGCAAAATGGGACCACTTCCTCTGCCCGTTGACCTCCGATAATGGACGAGTTGGCAACCAACTAAGAGGTCGTCGGCACTCGTTAAACCATAGCTGCCATCATACCACCAGAGATCATACCTTGATTGATATAGCATTCCATGAGAAAAAAAAAAATTGGATACGCGCTCGAAGTGGCATACCTTATCAGAATGATAATCGAACAGCGATCTGCTGAGGGGCGGAGCACAGGCGGAGGCGGAGCTCAGAAAGGATTGGCAGCCCCAGGGCGCTGCAACGAGCGCACCTTTAGTCACAAAAAGGCCACATCTCGATTCCTTTGGGCTCTAGCTACTGCTTGAAGTGCTGCTCGTTCTTCCATGCTGCACAGAAATTTTATCGTAATTTCTCGCTTTAAAGCTGCGCAACTGGTCTTTCAGGGCGCCGCGCAGCGATTTGTAGTTTTGCATGGGCCTAGGAACGGTACCTACCCCTTGCTTTGGTTTAGCCGTGAAATTTGTGTAAAATTAGGACACAATTTATTGTTGTGTACTACTTGTGAATAGTACATACTTATTTTGTATTACGGACAACACTATGATCGTAACTGTTATTATAGCCGCTGTTTATAGTAGCTGCTTTGCTCAGCTCAAAATGCGCTTATGCGCAGGGGGGTTCACTAAGGGGGCATAGCCATGTGGACTGAGCCTAGGTAGGGACGATGAATTCCGAATGTACGAATCATTCACAAGCCCCCTGTCTCGGTCTACGGAAGGTGTAGCTCTAGGTCTAGGTCAAACAATTGCGGGACCGTTCATTAGGTGGCGATCGTGCGTGGTTAGTGATGTATGCGGGTTAGGCGAGTAGTGCGAGCAGGCGGTGAAGACTACATACGTATTGATTGATTTGGTTCCGCCCTTAGAGCGTTGTAGCGATTGGCGAGTAAGCGATTAGGCGAGCAGGCGAGTAGGCGATTGGGCGATCGCTCAATGGGCGGAGCAACAAATCAATACGTATCCTTCTCTTATCGCCTACTCGCCTATTCGCCCAATCGGTTTGTGTACTTTTCATTTTGAATCATCGCCTAATCGATACGTGCCTTATCGCCTACTCGCCTAATCGCCTAATCGATCCGTATACTTTTCATTTTGAATCATCGCCTAATCGCCTAATCGCCTAATCGCACGTACGATCGCCAACTATGAACTCTCCATACTGACTCGATTCGTCATTGTGCACGACCGCGAACGCTAGCGAATCGCTCGATTTGCAAAGTCTGACATCTAGTAGCGATTCGCTTGCGTCCGCGGTCGCGTTGCGGTACCAGCCAATCGAGTGATTCACTGGCCGCGACGCGACCGCAGACGCTAGCGAATCGCTCGATTCACAAAGTTTGAAACGATGTTTCCCTCCGCTGCCCCTTCCCCTCCCCATAAGTGTCATTTCATAATAAACAAAACTGTTACTCACGAGATATCATCTGGTGGAATGGGTAGTTGGTTCATTTCGCCATCGTGGATTTCGTCGAAAAGGATCGGGTTCATTTTCTCGATAAGAGCCAAGTAAGACGGTGGCATTTCGACTCCCCGCCGCCGTGGCACAAAAATTGACGGTCCTGACTGACGCCTTGCCACGGCGTCTCGACCGTGGCGTCGGGCGTACACTCGTCTCGTGGAGGCGTCCAGCTTTGCTCGAATCTCATCCATAATCAATTGACGTCGGATGATTTCCGAGAGCCTCTCGCAGGACTCCTTATCGTCCAGGCAGTGGAATCCTGGCTGCAAGTCGATGACCGCTTGTATTTTTCTCAGGAGACTGCTATTCGTGTAATGTGGGATCCATTCGACGTCGTCTAACGAGAAACTGTCTTGACTCATTGTGGAGATCGATTCCGAGGCTCTGATTGTTTCTTCTATCGACTCGCCATTGAGGAAGTTATTAGGAGTCGGCAGAGAGTTCTTCATTATCAAATCGAGTAAGTCCCCGAGGTCTTCGTCCGCGTGACTGTCCCACATAAGTTCCTGGTCTGTTGTGGGGTGACTGCCGTCCATTCCGTCGAGGTGAAGCTACAGAAATGAACCTCACCGGTGAAAGCTTCTTTTATAGCCACTCTAATGCAAACACTACTGATAATACGACTATCAACTATCAGTTCAGTTTACGCCTTTCACAGCTTGGTATGTATACAAACTGATATAAAAGAACCTGAGGACGGCGTAAAAAACGCATAATTTATTAACAAGTAGATGGAATTGGATGGAATTGTGAGAAAATGTCGCCAAATGTCTTCCAGTCGTGCACATAATGTGGGCAACATAGGATCCCGGATCAGGTGGGATATAACGCTAAACTGCTCGCGCAACTTGAAGCACTTGAGGAATAGAAACAAAAGCAAATATTGTCAATCAGTGAGCAATTGCGATGCGCTATGATCATGTTCTTCATCAGAACATGACCCAGAGAAAACAAAGGGACCTCATACAGGAAGAATTGTCAAAGATTCAGAAGAAAGGACAAAGGGTGACGAGTGCAGCTCGCGGGTTTCTACCGCTCACT